TGCAGTTTAGTTAGCATGAATCTTTTGAGCTGGTTGGTCCACGATTCTGCTCCAAATAAAGCAACCTATTCATCGAGTTCAAAAAAAAATTGTAAAGTGAACAAGGCTTGTTGCTAGAGGCGCGGTAGCTTGCTGCGCCTTGCAGCTATCCAATTTAGCAGAGATGGCCATCGAATTGGCGCCATGTGAAGGTGATAAATCATGCATGAGTATGCCAGCTGAGATCCACTAGTGTTTTTCTGGTGAATCTGATTTTTTTTTTTGTCATCCGTAGCATGTCATGAATTTCGTGTGTTGCCGTAGCATAGTACATCATGTTATTATTGTCAAATATCTGATGAATAAGAGTATATATAGTGGTTTTTGGAAAGCTTTTGGGTTTTGAAAATTCATAAATCATTTTGCTTCTCTCTTTTTAAAAAAAATCAAGAGGTTGTAAATGTCAAGGTGTCCTATTTGGGTGGAATTCGAACAGGTGTTTCATTGGTACTCCGATCCACTGGGCTAGCGGGAACAGCAGGGCTAAACTAAAACAATAACTCTAGGGCACTAGTAGATCGGAAGGGGCAGATCGAGTGCGTTTGCGCTAGCTAAACTAATGGCGGAAAGGGGCAAGTACAGATGCGCACCTGAAGAGAATATTCCAGGGCACAGAATCGTTGCTGCTTTTCTGGTGAAAGGAAAGTCGGTGCACCGCAGGTGTAGTGCGTGTCTCCTTGCGAGACGGTTTTGGAGCTTGTGGCACAGTTTGGCGCTTCGACAAAAATATCGTGGTTGGCTGGTTGCAGCAATGCCCGCCCGTTGGCCAATGGCATTCCACGGTTTTAAATTTTAAGGCAGGCGATGGCTTCTTATCCTACCCCATCTCGATCGAGAAAGGTGTAAACCTGCTGGTAGCTCAGCTGTATGGCGACGGCGTTTGTCACGGACGTCGACGTCGCGTTAGAAGAAACAGGGATAGATAGATAGATGGGGGCGGAGTGAGCCGAGAGCACTCGGCGAGTGCGTGCCGCCGGCGCGCCCACGCATCCTCGTCAGCGCCCGCCGGGAGGGGAGAGCGTGCGGCTGCGCTTGCTCCCCGCGCGCTGGATACGTTTCGGCCCCTGAGTCGCTGCCCCGGACGCCCGCAGTCTGCAGTGCATGCACCGCGGGGCCGGGGGCGACGGTGTGCGTGGCGGCATGTGGCCATGTGGACGCGGAATACGGAACTTAAGTTGCCGGCTAATCATGGAGTGACTGGCCTACCGATCTCTGATCGCGGGAAGTACGGAGCCGCGGCGGCCTCGACCTTGCCTGGTCACCACCTCAGTGGGTCTGCACTATTAGAGACTTGACGCTAATACAGACTGTAGACAAGTATTGGTGAGTGTGAATTCAGTGCTTTATGTAGGTTTTTACTTTTACCGTCTACCGTAGAGCTTTTCTTCAGGTCATCATCCAAGCGAAGCGAGCGTTCTGCCGACTCATTGCCCTGACCCTGCGCTACGAAGCACAATCAGTTCAGGTCGCGTGCTGTACGTGGCTCTCGGGTCTCCGGCACACTCGTCTAGTTGCACCTTTCGTCCGTCCTTTCCCTAGCGGCCCGTTCGGCTAGCATAATTTTAGCTGAAATTGACTGAAAACATTATTCATGCTGAATTGTTGGGAGAGAAAAATATTGTTCCGGCTGAAAAAATAAGCCGAATATGAGGTAAGCCGAACGGGGCCACAACGGGATCGGTCGTTTCAGCCTGTTCGATTGGTCGTAAACGATCGTGAATTATAAACCAGAATAGTATTTTTCTCTCACACCAAACCAGTCAGCAGTAATAATCCACGAACCACCGGCCGAACAGGCCGGGCCTGCACTGATTTCACTCGCCACAGCACGCTCTGTCCTACTGTATTCTTATCTGAATCTGCACCTCGGGTTCCATCTGCTGACTCTAAAGTGGTCCAGTTTTGCCCCGCCCGCATAGGGGTCCATCGGCTGAACTGAACCCTGCCCTGTATCCGACGGTCTGGCACGCAGCTAGGGAACGAACGGTGCAGTGCAGTGGAGGGGGGTACTAGGAACTGCAGAGTACAGACTCCAGACTACAGAGTGCATCGGTTACATTGACGCTGTCCTTCCTCCTTCGTGGCCACCTCTCCTGACTCCTGGTCCTGTGCAGGTCGTTCATGGGTTTGATTCAGCTACGACTACGAGCAGTCTCAAGACACTGCACGTTGTATCCGCCATGGTGATTGCGAGAATCTTTTTGCCCATGTCATTGGACTTGGACCTTTGCGTCGCAACGATACAGGAGGGCAGGAGGATAAATGGAGCAAGGAGCATCCAATAGCTCAATCAGAACCAGTGCCGTACGATTTACGAACCAGTGTGAACCACACGACGTCTCAGATATGAAAGTATAGACCGTAGATGTGCAGTACTGGGGCTAACATATATATCGCCATATCGCTGTCAATTTTTGGACTCACTCAAATAAGAATTTTGGAACGCACGAATTACGAACCAGACGACGGACGACTCATATGCCCAGAGATCCCGCTCGGATACGACTTGCATCTTTCCACGTATATATCGTTTCGCAAAAAAAAAAAGGTATACCTTTGTTCTCGCAGTTCTTTTATGTGTTGAAAAAAGGAAAGCCAGATACGGCGTTCGTTCTTCGTTGCGTTCCGCCGCCCATGAAATCATTTTTGCCTTTCAATTGTGGGCTGTTCAAGTAAGGCCCCATATTATAGCCCACTTCTGGTTTTTGTGGGCTTCGAGAATGCAAAAAAAAAAAACAATCTTGGTATCCTTATAAAAAAACTTTGTTTGTGAATCCAAAGACATTATTTTCAATAATTATTACAAAGGAATCCTATAAAACCTTTGTTTCACTTATTTGGCAACACATATGGCTCTTCGCTTCTCTTATAATCCGTCTTTTTCAGCTTGTTTTTTCAGCCGGAACAGTGTTTTTCTGTCACAACAAATCAGCCGGAACAGTGTTTTGCTTGTTTTTTCAGCGAAACGAACTGGGCCTATGGCATGGATGGCACCCACGTAGTGAATTACTCCCTCAGTTCCAAATTATAATACATTTTTGTTTTTTAGATAATTTTTCTTACTGTATATTTAGCCCTAGTGTATATCTACGTACATAGAAAAACTATTGCTAGAAAAGCCAAAATATCTTATAATTTATAATAAAAGAAGTACATATCAGCACATGGTGGGCTGACGACATCCTTCAACAAAAACTAATGAAGTTATGATCCTATTTCGTCGTAGATCGATTTGAGCAATGGGGCCTTTTATGGACTCAGGATGCAACTCGGTATCAAGAGCAAAGCACGGGGAGTTCTAAAGGATCACATTCCCTGGAGGTCCCAGCGTTTATACTATAGATATGCGAAGGTAGAGATATTGAGTGACAGGAGTATGACTTGAAAGAAAGAAATGTATGCATCATATATCCAACTTGTTTTTCCATGCTCTTGACTCCAATTTCAATTAAGCAACTAATCCCAATCCCCCTTAATAGTACAACCATAGACAAAAAAAAAAACAAAACAAAAAATCCTAACACTAAGACTGTGTTTGTTTGAGCTTTTTGCCACTTCTAGACTACTAGCTTTTGGAAGCAAACAACTCCCATAAGCCAAAAGCCTCTAGAAGTTTTTTGGCTTTTGAAAGATTCAAAAGCTCCTAGAAAGACCAAACAAATAGGCCCTAAGTCTAGGTGCTTTTATCACAAGTACGCACTTAGACTATATATATAATATATAATTACTTGTACGAAGGAATAAACTATTATAAATTGATGCTATTGGATTATGTGGCATGTTGTCATGGACAACAAAATACTTCTGTGTTTTACTGTTGTGGACATCACAATTGCATGTGCTAGTGGATTTTAATTATATTTGGTAGTGCATTGTTGAGATGGACAACTTGCATGTTGAGATACATAGCTAGTGAGATTTAGGATTATAAGAGATATAGATATAGATATAGATATCCTTGCACCATACACCAATTCCAACCATAAGGGGCTAAGAAAACTGAGTGGTATCAATGATACAACTCTTTACCATTAACCTTGGAAAATAAAGTTAAAGTTATATAGATATAGATATCCTTGCACCATACACCAAATCCAACCATAAGGGGCTAAGAAAGCTGAGTGGTATCAATGATACAACTCTTTACCATTAACCTTGGAAAAAAAGTTAGTCACATGTCTTTTTGTCCATCAATCACCGAAACACATGAGAACCAATTAATGAAACATAAATTTAGGGTACCTTGCATCAAGAATCATCACATGAAAAGATGTGAATGCAACTGCCGCTTTGTTAGATTACAAACTTCATCATAGTCACTTTTCTACGGAAAAGAAACAAATCGTCATCGCACAACCTAAATGAAAGCCAAATGATTTAAAACTAGTTTTTATCTATTTAAGAAATATATATAGTTATTTAGAAGGCACATAATTACAATGCTTGCCAATAGATAGACTGCCCAACTAAGAATATGCTCGTTTCAGGCGGCCAATTGTCATGATCTAACGCGCATATTAAGTTTATCGAGCAATGCAACATTACTACATTAGTTATAACAAATATTTGCCCATTTGATAAATGTAACATGATTCATATTCGGTGTCTTTCACTTTCCAGCCGTTGCCACTCCTTTGCTGTATGACGGTGAAAAGCTGTCTCGGTGACGGCGTTCAAAACATCAGCAATCTTTGCAACAAAACACTGGCGGGCCGCTTGATGTCCCCAAACCAGCTCACTCTGGTTGCGAATCTCGGCGTTCCCGACAGGAATCCAACGGCCTTGGGCGACGGCAGCCCTACGCACGGCTTCGCGGAGTGCCGGAGTCGCGAGGCGGCTCGGCTCTCTACACCCTCGCGCTCGCGGCCTCGCCTCTCTTCCCTCACACGACTCGCCGCGAGGAGTTTCCCCTTCCTCCGCGCGCATCCCCGCGAGAGCTCGAAAACCTAGCCGCCAAATCCATGGCTCGACGCGACCACGACGACGACGACGACGACGAGGAGGAGGACGAGGAGGAGGCCTACGACCTGGACGAGGAGGAAGAGGAGGACGAGGAAGACGACTACGAGGAGGAGGCGAGGCGCGGGAAGGCCTCCGCGGCGGCGGCGGCGGCGGCGGGCGGAAGCGGTCACGCGAACACAACTTTATTGACGACTCGGCCATCGAGGACGAGGACGAGGATGACGACGACGACGACGGCGGGGGCCGGCCGAGGAAGAAGGGCGGCGGCGGGGTGCGAGGGTTCTTCGACGAGGAGGCCCAGGTCGACGAGGACGAGGAAGAAGAGGACGAAGGCGAGGGCGAGGACGGTGAGTGGTCGCCCAATTTTATTGCGTCGTGATGCTCTGTTTATGACTCGGGTCGTATTTCTGCAGTCTTTGTTGAGATCTGGACCTAATTTGGTCGATTTCCAGAACTGGATTTGGGGATATAGTGAGAAATTAGCAATTTCTATAACACTTTATTCTCTAGATGGAATCCACCTCTTTTGTTTTGTTTTCATGACTAGGCAGTAGCTGCAGGTTCGCAAGAAATTTAGTTTCATAGCACTTGTGTAGCTAAAGCAGCTAATTTTGATGTTCGCCTTTGCTCCAGACTTTAAAGACGAAGTTTAGTCATCATGTTTACCTATATTCATAGAGGTGCACCCTCGGTGGCGGCTAGTTTTTTCTAGACAAAAAAGTTAGCTGAAGTACCCTCCCAATATGTTCCGTTAACTTGTTAGTGCCTGTGCAGATCCTGTCTTAATTATCAGTTCAGTTGATAATTTGCTTTGTTGTTCGACCTCAATTTGATCTATTTATATTAGTTATCCTTTATGTAAGCTTATAGCAATGGTGGTTTGGTCAGACCTAAGTTTTAAGGGTATAAGGAACCGGGCCTAGTTTGAGACTTGGATTTGTTCTCCCTGATCATTTCAGGCATGCAGAGTTGCCCATGAGAACAAACCTATGGGCCTGCTGTTTTCAAAAGCTACTTGAAAGGACTGGAAAGAGTCAGTTCTCAATGCCATATTAACACTGTACCAAACACTGCATACAGTTGACTGAACAATCTTCTTATGCTATCAAATGAGTTAGTTTTGTTCTTTTAATGTTGGATAAGATGCTTGAAGCTTGACAAAGCCTTGGCATCAAATTGAAAATCCATTCATAAATTCTATCATAGTTCAAATTGTTTAGCCTTATGCAGCAGGAAAAAATTTATGCCCTCTGGGCTGAAACTTTTTATTTGAATCAAATCAAAATTATCTTCCATATTCTACTGGTCATCTTTTACCCTCATTGTACAATTTGAACTATCAGGGTGCATTAGATTTTCTGTAAGGATTTACTTGTAGCCCTGGAAATATTCCAATCAGCTCCATGCTTTCATCCATTTTCACAGTTAATTTCACAAACATCTTCCTCCCTTGATAACTGGAAATAATGGATTGGACATACTAAACTGTTTATCTCTGAACTGAGTGCTGATATATCTATACATCACAAGCGAATTATGAATGTTGAAGTCAGCTGTTTTGCTCCAATACTACTTAATACTAAGTTATGAAAAGAAATTAATCTTGGGCCTGTAGAATATACTAGTTAATGCTTCTTAGTAGAGCAAACTAGACATTAACCTGGTGACACATTGTGCTGGCTATGACTACTAGCATTGCTAGAAACAGTGACCCCTCCTTCCCAAATATAAGGCGCGGTTTGATTTGGTGTGGTCTTCGAGGTCACTCTTTGACTGCTAATTTCTCTTATAATCTATCTTTCGTGGCAAAAAAAAAAGGTTGGTCAGTAGAGGGTATTTCTAAACGCGAAGTCCAATGTAACCACTCTTGTAGCACAAAGTTTTCATATTGTTAGACTAATTGTTGGCAAAGATTACAAAGTTTGATCATGAAATACATGCATGTCTTATATATTGGGACAGTGGGAGTATGTTTTTATTAATTGCTTTTGGATCTGTAAACAACTGTTTAAATGTTGAAATTGAATTAGCTCTGTGCTTATTGTTGTACTAAGCAACAGAAGCATGTTCAGGTTTCTAATGCACTGATATAGTGATATCTGCTCCTTTGCCTTTCATTTTAGGTTTTATTAATGATGCTGGGGCCGACCTTCCTGATGAGGATGTTAGGGGCTCAAGACGTCATTCTATTCCTATGAGGGATGAGGAAGAGGACATTGATGAGATTGAGAGACAAGTGCGGGAGAGATACGCAAGATCCACTCATATTGAGTACGGTGAGGAAGCAGCAGAAGTGGAACAGCAAGCTCTGCTGCCCTCCGTGAAGGATCCTAAACTATGGATGGTCAAATGTGCGGTATGCTCAAGATTTATCTTACAAAACTGCTTGGATGTTTATTGGCCCTACTTCAGCTCTACTAACGCATAACTGTGATTTCAGATTGGACATGAGAGAGAGACTGCGATTTGTCTGATGCAAAAGTACATAGATAGGTCAGACCTTCAGATAAAGTCAGTCGTGGCATTGGATCATCTAAAAAATTATATTTATGTTGAAGCTGAAAAGGAGGCCCATGTCAAAGAGGTAAGCATGTCTGCGTGTGCTTGGCATTTTACTTCTGATTTCATTCCTCCTTGCTAAACTTGGTCTATGCAGGCTTGCAAAGGTCTACGAAACATTTATTCTTCAGCAAAAATAACATTAGTGCCGATAAAAGAAATGGCAGATGTCCTCTCCGTTGAGAGCAAATCTGTCGATCTTTCAAGGGATTCTTGGGTCCGAATGAAATTGGGCATATATAAAGGTGACCTTGCTAAGGTATTACCACAACACTTCTCTTATAAAATATATACTGTATACCATTCTTCAAATGTTTATGTGATCGTGTTTTGCAGGTTGTTGATGTTGACAATGTACGTCAAAGAGTAGATGTGAAGCTGATCCCTAGAATAGATCTACAAGCTTTGGCTAGTAAACTGGTTAGTTCTAACCCTTGTTTCTCACAAGAGCAGTGCTACAAGTACACCTATTTTAGTACAACTTGGGTACTAAAGAGATCCAAAGGTTAAGATCACTTGGATGGAAAGCTCATAGATGCACTGAATGGTTTAGATACATGGTTGTACCTGAAGTTGTAGTCAAAGCATTACGCTTCTCACAATCTTTGCACTTTTGTTTATTATTACTTCCTATCAACTTTAATTGCATAAATTAAGGAGTGGAGCTAATCTATTTGTCTCAGTTTTATTCTCTTCTGTTATGCACTTAAGTTAACAAGTAGCTACTTAACTAGCTAAATGTATATTCAAAACTGAGGTCTCAGGTCCACAGTCTGATATACAATATAAGATAATAAATTATAAACAATGTACTCCCACTGATTCCAAAGTTTAGTCGTTTATAGGAAACATCAACAGGGTCTCCAGTATGATACTTTGACTTGCAAATTTTATAGAATCATACCCCCCATTCCAAATTAAAGATGTTTTGTTTTTTTCTTGATATGCACCTTTTGCTATGCACTTTGACATACACTATGTCTAGATACATAGTAAAAGCAATGTATCTAAAAAAAACCAAAATGTTTTATAATTTGGAATGGAAGGAGTAGCATTTTAGATAATATTATGAAAGGTTTCAATGATGAATGTAGTAACATCAAACATGTGTTGTCAATCAGGAAAATATTCAGTGCAAACCCTTTACTCGGTGGAATCCTAAAAACCTTTTACAAAAACATACTTAGGAGTTTTCAAAAAATTGAAACTATGCAAGTGTCGCGGAAATGCGTATGTTGCGTTGGATTTGCGGTCATGCAAGAAGGGATCGAGTTCGGAACGATGATATACGTGATAGATTAGGGGTAGCACCAATTGAAGAAAAGCTTGTCCAACACCGGTTGAGATGGTTTGGACATGTCCAACGGAGACCTCCAGAGGCATCGGTGCGTAGTGGAGTCCTAAGCCAGGATAGTAATGTGAAGAGAGGCAGAGGAAGACCGAAGTTGACTTGGGTAGAGGCAATAAAAGGAGACTTGAAAGGATGGAATATACCCAAATACTTAGCCTTAGATAGGAGTGCTTGGAAAACAGCTATTCACGTGCCTAAACCTTGATTGCTTCTGCTGTGTTTCAACTCTAGCCTACCCCAACTTGTTTGGGACTTAAAGGCTTTGTTGTTGTTGTTGTTGTTGCACATCCACAGTGCATCTATGGATATGCATTTGTGCAAATTTTGAGATTCAAAACCAATTATAGAAAAAATCTTATGAAAATAACAAATTTCAGGTGCACATGCACTAGAAGACAAATTCCTAGGAATTTTATCCTCTAGTGCATATGCATCTCAATTTTGTTATTTTCATAGGAATTTTTACAAAACGAATTTGAAATCTCAAATTTTGTGACAACATGGAGGGTTTGCTCCCAATATTTTCCCGTTGTCAATCTGTATAACTTTTCATATATTAATAGATCAAATTTAACCGACTACAATCTTAGAACAATCTACATTTGGAGTTGGAGGGAGCTTTCGTGTTTTACAATTGAGTTCACTGTATTTTTTTATATCTCCTGTTCATGTTTTTCTAAAGCAAAAACATCTTGTGATCTGTGAGCTGTATTTATTTGAGGTAATTTTCTGATTATCATGTTTGGTTGTTATTTTCTTGATCTTGATTGAGCTGTTGAGTTAATCAGGTCATTGGGGTCCTTATCCTGATGGACAATTTGTATTTCAGGAAGGGAGGGAGGCTGTAAAGAAGAAAGCATTTGTCCCACCACCACGATTCTTTAATATCGATGAGGCGAGGTGACATTTTTGTCCTTAAGAATAAGAATTATCTAATTGTTTCTGTTATTGTTTGCTAATCTTGTGCAAACAGGGAGATGCATATTCGTGTGGAACGGAGGCGAGATAAAGAATCTGGGGAGTACTTTGAGTGGGTTGATAATTTGAAGTTCAAAGATGGTTTCTTGTACAAATCAGTCTCCACTAAATCAATCCACACAAATAATATTCAACCGACTTTCGATGAGCTTGAGAAGTTTAAGAAGCCTGGTGAAGACATGAATGGGGACATGGCTAGCTTGTCCACTCTGTTTGCAAACAGGAAAAAAGGGCACTTTATGAAGGGTGATGCCGTCATTGTTATTAAAGGAGATTTAAAAAATCTGGAGGGGTGGGTTGAGAAAGTAGAGGATGAAACAGTTCACATCAGACCAAAAATATCTGATCTTCCGGTAACCAATTGCAATTATAGCTACTTATTATTATGAAATTTATGGTGGAGGAATGGCTTACAGTATTGTCTATTGTTAATGCATTTGTAACTGCAGAAAACATTAGCCTTCAATGAAAAGGAGCTTTGCAAATATTTCAAGCCTGGTGACCATGTCAAGGTGATCTCAGGTGTTCAAGAAGGTGCTACTGGCATGGTTGTTAAAGTGGAAGGACATGTCTTGATAATTTTGTCTGACACAACTAAAGAACATGTGAGTAATTGTCTTATCAAGATTATGAAGAAATATTTAAGCTGATCTATTTGAAATATTTTTTCCTTAATGTGCTCTTGTTGGATGACACAGATCCGTGTGTTTGCTGATCATGTCGTCGAAAGCTCTGAAATTACCACAGGAATCACCAGAATTGGTGATTATGAACTGCATGATCTTGTCCTTTTAGAGTAAGTTTACTCTTCAAATGAACAATAATCGTAGCTCGTTTATTTTGATTACTTACCTCATTACCTGTCGTCAATCCATTTTCAGCAACTTGTCATTTGGAGTAATTATAAGGGTGGAAACTGAAGCATTTCAGGTAATAATATTATTCTAGTAAGGGTGATTGTACTTCACACTATACTTACTAAGGTGTATATTTAGGTTCTGAAAGGAGTGCCAGATAGACCTGAAGTTGTGCTCGTGAAGTTAAGAGAAATAAAAAGCAAAATTGATAGGCGCTCATCAGCTAAAGATCGTTCTAATAATATTATCTCTGCAAAGGACGTCGTAAGGGTTATTGAAGGAGCATGCAAGGTGTGTCCCAGTTCTGTTTGTTACGATTTTGGTTGGTTGTTTTGACTCCTGTTTATCTCTTATCTTTATTGTATTTACATCCATATTTTATCAAATTAGGGGAAGCAAGGACCTGTGGAACACATACACAAGGGGATACTGTTTATCTGTGACAGGCATCACCTTGAACATGCAGGCTTTATTTGTGCAAAAGCGCAATCTTGCCTTCTTGTTGGTGGATCAACTGGTGGCCGTCAAGGAAATGTTCGTACTGAACCCTTTTGATCCTTAGTCATGCTTGAGAATTTGTCTCATTTTTCACTTTGCTGATGCAGGGTATGGACACAGCTGATGCACGGCTTGGTGCTTTGAGATCTTCAGCAAGCATTCTGCAATCTCCAGGAAGGCTGCCCCCAAGAGGACCTAATATGAATTGTATGATCTTATTTTGATACTTCCAGTTTCCAAGTTCAAAGGCTTAGTTTCGCCTGGATATGTTACAGCGGACTATTCAAATATTCTACACTACATTTCTTGAAGCAAGGGAGTTACTTTATGCAGCTGTAGATTATATATTAATATAGCCTTGCCATCCAATGCAGATGGTGGAAGGTTTGGAGGCGGCCGTGGTGGTAGAGGACATGATGCCTTGGTGGGTAAATGTATCAAAATTAAATCTGGCCCTTATAAGGGATACCGTGGCCGTGTTAAAGAGGTGACTGGTGCACTTGTACGTGTAGAGCTTGATTCATTGATGAAGATTGTCACAGGTGAATCCTCTAATTGTTATCTATGCCCTGTGACTTATCATATGTTGGAGGCTAATATGACTAATACACAGTTAAAAGAGATGATATTGCTGACACACCTACTGTTGCGACACCATTTCGGTAATATCTTGTTCACTTATTTTAAGCAATCTTTTCTTATGTATTTTGCTAATTGAGTATTATCATGTCATCAGTGAACCTCGTTATTCATTGGGCGGTGAAACACCAATGCACCCGTCTCGAACACCACATCATGCTTATCAGACTCCAATGCGTGACCCTGGAGGTTTGTTTGCCTGTTGTCCTCATATTTCCATATGTTCCTATAGATTGAAGGATGTCTTTCCACCCATGAGCTGTCACTGATTTTAGCTGTGTTTTGAGTCTTTCCCCACATTGCAAGTTGCTTCCTATGGTTAGTACATTTGTTTGCTTATATCTAATTGTTTGAAATATCCTTTTTCTATGGATTTTTTTTTAAAAGGCAAGATAATGCTTTTTGCCCTTTGTCTGTGTACTGGCTGTGTGTATGTCCCTTATTTGTTGCATTGAACAAGAGAGCCTAAGCTGTGGCCTCAAACAATTTGATCAAGCATTCGTACCATAGTAGACTTTCAATGAGAATCTATATTGGCATCATCTGTTCCATGCATTCAGTATGTCATTCATTTTGCATGTTTCTGCAATAATCTCCTATTCATTTACTACAGCAACACCAATACATGACGGGATGCGGACTCCCATGCGAAGTCGAGCCTGGGCTCCTATGAGCCCTCCGAGGTTGCAATTTTTTCCACAATGATATTTCTGATCCATGTTTGTTGGAACTAGGGTTGGGTCTGTTTGGGACGAAGGAAAGATAATTTCTTTGTTCCAAACAGCAGCTTACTGTTTACTTTTGTATTTGGACTTAAAAGGTAGCCATTGATATATGATTTTGATCGTTGCTGTGTTGGTCATTTACCAGGGATAATTGGGAAGATGGAAATCCTGCTACTTGGGGTAGCAGTCCAGCTTACCAGGTTAGGTTTTGTCACTCCTGTCCTATTCCTTATTTAGTTTTTAGTAAATTGTTTTGTGCAGATGTGTAACTCCCACATGTCTTCTTCCAATTATCCAAACTTTTCAGCCAGGAACCCCACAAGCTCGGCCATACGAAGCCCCCACACCTGGATCAGGGTGGGCAAACACTCCAGGAGTTAGTTTCAATGATGCTCCTACTCCCAGGGATAACTATGGTATAGAAGTCTATTTGATTATTTGTTCAGTATACTATTGTAATTATGTGTTTATTCTGTATTGTCTGGATACTTATTCGAACAATTTTTTTTTTCATTCTGATCTCTTAGCAAATGCCCCAAGTCCATATGTGCCTTCCACGCCTGTTGGTCAACCAATGACACCAAACTCAGCTGCATATCTTCCGGGCACACCTGGTGGTCAACCAATGACCCCAGGCAACGTTGGAATGGATTTAATGTCCCCGATAATAGGTGTGCTGTTATGATCGCTATGTTTTCAGACCTTGATGTGCTGCCTTGCTTTTGTAGATATGACCATGTGCCGAAATGCCTGCAGGTGGTGAGGGTGATGGTACATGGCTGTTGCCGGATGTTTTGGTCAATGTGTTGAGGGGAGGTGATGACGGTCCTGGTGTGGTTAGGGAATTACTCGGGGTATGTGTTGCATGCCGTATGGTGGAATGCAAAATTCTGTGTGTGTGTGTGTGTTTTTTTTTTTTTTTTTTGTCTCGTGCCATTGCTTATATGCACTTTAACTTACAGGATGGATCTTGCCGAGTGGCACTTGGGTCGTCGGGCAATGGTGACATGGTGACAGTCCTTCCAAACGAGATCGAGGTCATCAGGCCAAAGAAGAGTGACAGGATCAAGATATTGAATGGTAATTTCCGTGGATACACAGGAAAACTCATAGGTATAGATGGTTCTGACGGAATAGTGAGGCTTGACGACACATACGAAGTTAAGATATTAGATATGGTGATTTTGGCCAAACTGGCGACTTAAAATGGATATATATTTCGTAACGTGTCCATCTTTTTCCACACTTGTCGGGCGTTTGCCATAGCGCTGCTCGTTTTCTCTAGCTCGTTGTTTTGGACTTTTGGTTGAGACTTTCATTTAGGTAGGTGTCTGGATTAGTGACTGGTTTTACACATTGCACATGCCGACATGCCTCATTGTCTTGTATCATGCCACATACCGGATTTTTGAAACGCATGCCACAAATCGACTTTTAAGTTGGAACATATGGGAAAGGAGTTTATGTAACATATGGGAAAGGAATTTATCAAACTGCATTTCTAATGGCGTTAGTTGTCACATATGGGAAAGGAATTACCAAACTGCATTTCTCATGGCGTTCTTTACTGAGGACCTGTAACTTCTATATCCGATCTTTACACAAGAATCAAAAACTCCCTACCCCTTCTAAGACACACCAAGAACAATGTGCAAATGGCTACTAAACGAATGGACAAAATGGCAAGCGTTATTCTCGAAGCAAGCAAGCGGCGAAAAGCCGCGACATCGCGGCGCGGCCTGATCCTGCCCTGTTGCGCTTGTGCTCGTCGGCTTCAGTAGTTCTTGGTGTTGCGCTTGTGCTCGTCGGCTTCAGTAGTTCTTGGTGGGAGTCTGCCCGACGACGTCCTGCCTGCACTGCTGGAACACCTGCAGGATGTTGCGGTAGGGGCTGCTCCGGGACGACGGCGAGGCGGTGCCGGCGCGGTGGCGCTTGCTGCTCGACGGCCGCGAGTCCGGGCTGAGCGCTTCCTCCGCCTCCGCCTCCGCCTCCTCCCGCGCAGGCCGCTCCATCTCCGCCGCGTCCTTCCGCGCGGTCTCCAGGAACGACTCCTTCAGCGCCCCATCGATCTGATGGTCAGACAAGCGAAACACAGCGTTCATCTTCAGTTGCGAGTTGCCACCGATGGAGGAAGAAGACGCGCGCGGTGTGGAAGGGATTCGAATCGAATCGAATCCAGGTGGTGGTGGTGGTGGTGGGGGGGATTGAAATTGAATCGCTCACCGTGAGAGGGCAGAAGTCCGGCATGGGCCACGCGACGGGCCCGCCGTCGTCGGGAGGCTCCGGCAGGGGCTCCACGGGCGCCGTCTCCTCCTCACCCTCCTTCCCTGCGTCCCCGACGCCCACGCTCGCCCCGTCGACGACGACGACGTCGTCCGCCGCCGCCTCGACCTTATCCTGCGCGCCCGCAAACGAAGCCCACCCATGGTCAGCAAACACCAGCGGGCAACGGCGACCCTATCGATCGCGCACGCGGGGACGGCCGGCCGGCCGAAAAGAGGAGAGGGCGAGGGATCGAGTCCGGGTACCATGAAGCTCGCGCCAGCCTCCACCATCCGATCCGATCCCCTCCGCGCCTCGCCTCCGATTCCGAGAACGTCCCGGCGCCTTGCCTTGCCCCTTCCTGTCGGTGCTCGAGGCGGGGATCTTTTCGGACTCGCGTCGCGATGTGGTTCGAGTTTGAAATGAGGGGAGAGAGCGAGGCGAGAGCGTAACGGCCGCGTTAATTATGGGAGAGGAAATGGCCAAATGGGGGGCACATCTGGGAGGAGAGGTGGGGGATTTAGGGGAAGGACAACGGCTACTTTTTGGGCCGTGCCAGAAGGAGAAGCCCGCTTGCGGGTTTGTCGAGGTGGATCCGATTTGGGGGCCAGGTGAGGGGATCAGTGAAAAGGTGAAGGACGGAGCCATCTGAAAATTCATATGCAAGACCACGACAGATGCTTGGAGCCAGGCAACAATGGCACTGAATCATCGAAGTATCGAATCAAATAGGTCATACAGTACATATGATCTTTTACGAGTGTTCATCATAGTACTTGATAGGTCTAGTTTTTTTTTACCCTCTAGGTTGAACTACCCATTCTCGATATCCCTGGACAAGATACTTAAAAAAGAGGGTACATAGTTTCTTGCGACACCAAAGCCAGACCAAGAGCCGTGCATTTTAGCAGATCATCACTCACGGCATGTTTGGATTTTGATTTTAGGTTGCCAAGCCAAACTTTGGTCATAGTCAAATCAGGCATGGTCAAAATTTGGTCATGTTAGATATGTCTAGATGGTGGCCAAGCGAGAATCCTAAAACATGCCAAAATTTTATCAGTGCTCTGAGACTCTGAGAGCAAGACACGCAGGGCCCACGAATCATTGTTTTTACATGAAAAGGATCGTTAATATGGATCTTGATTCGAAGATTTTGTTGCAAGGATCACATAGGCCCATCCGCCTAGGGCCTGTTGCCCTGGCTCCGGCTCCGGCTACTACAGAGGAGCCCTACCAAACGTTTTTCTGGAGGAGCCGTTTTTCAATAAAAAGCAGAGGTGCCGGAGCCGTTTTGGAAGAGCCACTCTGAAGAAGCCCCTTAAAAGGAGCCATGCCAAACACCCCCTTAGTAACAACAACAAAAGAGGTTTCAAAAAACATAAAACAACAACAAAAGAACCACATTATAGCCAACTCCGAGGAGACCCATCAGCTCATTTACTTCGATGACGCATGCCAAATTTCACCGTGTGCCACCAAATTTTGGCACCAAACTAGGCATAGGAGCATAAGACAAATTACCACGACATGGCTAAAGTTTGGCTTGGATCTTGGGCTTCACAAGCCAAATGTGCCCTGTTCGTTTCGCTAAAATTTGACTCATGTTGATGTTTATGCTGAAATGTTGTGAGAGAAAAACGCTGTTGGTTTGTTGAAAAGTACTGCTGAAGTAGTGCAACAGACAAAAACATCCTGACTTTAGGTGTCTAAAACCGAATGCCTACGAGTGTTGTTTGGCACATGAAGATATTTAGGGCTAGTTTGGTTCAAACCTTGGACTAGTTGCCTAGGTTCAAAACCTGCCTGTGAACTGTCTGTACGCGATTGCAAAATTGCCTAACCAGGCACATGTCAAATCCATAGTACCTTTTGGTTGGTGGAATGATATATTGCCTCAATGGCCAATGAGGCACGCGATGTTTGGTTGAGTTTGCCTGTGCCGATCGATGTTGAGAAAATAACTATGAGCATTAATTGGAGCCAGGCAACTCCTAGGAGATCCGAGGCGATCGATTTTTAAGGACTAGCACCAGGCAACACATCTAGGCAGCTATAGTCAAGCAATAATATTAGGGTTTGAACCAAACATATCCCAGGAAGATCTTAGGCAGAGATGCGATTACAAAATTGCCTAACCAGGCACATGCCAAATCCGCAGTACCATTTGGTTGGTGGAATGATACATTGCCTGAATGGCCAAAGGGGGCACACACTGTTTGGTTGAGTTTGCCTGTGTCGATTAATGTTGAGAAAGTAACTATGAGCATTAATGGGAGCCAGGCAACTCCCAGGAGATCCGAGGTGATCGATATCGATTTTGAAGGATAGCACCAGGCAACACGTCAAGCAATAAATCTCAGGGTTTAAACCAAACATATCCCAGGAAGATATTAGGCAGAGACGTGATTACAAAATTGCCTAACTAGGCACATGTCAAATCCGTAGTACCATTTGGTTGGTGGAACGATACATTGCCGGAATGGCCAAAGGCACGCGCGTTGTTTGGTTGAGTTTGCCTGTGTTGATTGTGTTGAGAAAGTAACTATGTGTATTAATTGGAGCCAGCAACTCCCAGGAGATCCGAGGCGATCAATTTTGAAGGACTAGCACCAGGCGACACATCCAGGTAGCTACAATCAAGCAATACCAATCTCAAGGTTTAAACCTAGACATTTTTGTCAGGGTTCCAACCAAACATGCCCTTAAAACTAGGGATGGAAATGGATGTCTGGAAATCCGAATTATCCGAATCCGTATCCACTATAACGTGTAATATGGTTATCCGTATTTGTATCCATTTCTAATGTGGATACTAAATGGATGTATCTCGAATTTGTTTTCCAGTATTTTTCTCTATCTGATTCCCATATCCGTATTCGACAAAAATATGGAATATCCGATTTGTATCCGTATCTACAAAAGAATAAGGTATAATCAATCCATTTAAAAGTTTTCTCTCCAAGACTAGTGACTAATTATTTCATTTCAATATTATTAATGGTGTATTGGAACTATTCAGTAGTATATCTATAAATAAAATTTAATATTAATTTAATACTATCGATGATATATAAATATTAAATTAGTTTTAGTATTTTTCTAATTAAGTTTAAACATAATATATTTGTTGTTGCAAATTATTTTAATACTTTGATTTATTTTTTGCTGATGTAAATTACTTTACACAATTTATAATGTCATGATAAATATTTATATAAATAATGATTTATTAATTAATATACTGATTTAATTGATAAACATTATTAATTAATTTACTTGATAATATTATATATTTGTTGAATTGAGTAAAATATCCGAATAGAAATCCGAATCCGAGACATTCGTTTTGTATTCGTATTGATAAGATCCGTATCTTTATTCGAATCCAATTAAAATATGATAAACGGCGACATCCGGATCTCTTTCCATCCCTACTTAAAACCTTTGTTCAAATAGTCCCTAGATTTTTTTTTTGAGAAATTTCAAATAGTCCCTAGATGCCTGACCTTCGGAAGCCATCCCAACTTTCGTTCATTACGCACGTCGGAAGAAGGCCTCCGAAAAAGACCGTGACGAGAGAGAGGCTGCATAGCGAGTAGCCACGCTCGTGCACCCATTCCGGATTGGAAACCGGCAATAATACTACCAACTTTGATGGGCCGAGAATCAACGCCGAGCCTCTAGTGTTCGTGGGCGCTCGTTCGTGCACTCTCGGCCTCGAGAGTCCCGGCCGCAGCCCACACCCCACAGGCCCCGCGTTCTCCTCATCCGATCGCCCCAGCGACCACAGGTGCACGTACACACGCGGATCAGATGCTGCGCCTGCGAGGCTTCCCGATCCCGGGCAGGCCCACACCGCAGCACAGCAAAGGAGGACTGAGGACGGACTTTTAACGCGGAGAGGGTACGGCCGCCAGGGAGGGCGCGGGCCCCGCCCGATTGAATCAACCCTTCCCGCCACCTAGGGCCCACTAAATCTAATGAGCCGCGGGGCCCAGTCGCTTGCGGGTTGGCCTGGGCAGCAACCTGCTAGTGCCAGTGGTGTACTAGTCCCCCCGGGCCGAGGGGCCTCCGTGGCACTGGGCCCGGACGGCCAGCGCCACGTGTGCGTGAGCGGTGACCGGTGACCGGTGCGCCCTTCTCCCTCGCCGTCAGGCGGAGGAGATTCGTTGTGAGCTGGTCCAAGGTTTAGTACTCCAAAATCGTTGTCAGTACTGGCACCGAGCGAGTGACGAGATTCAACGGGTGGAGCCCGACCGGTGGATTCCTGTTGACTTTGCATATGATTGTTTGTTTTGTGTGTGTGTCTCTCTCTCTCTCAAAAACGTTGTTTTTTAACAAATTTTGAACGTGAAAGTGAAACAAAAATGGCTGCAAATGCCCGCTCCTTGTTACCGTGCCTGTCAGCTGTCACTGAAGGTTGTGTGTAGCATCCAGTCCAGTCCGATAGATCCAGCCTTCTTCCGTGCCCCCTTTCGCGAACGTATCCACTTGCGAGCTCCCAGAGCCTGCAGCTGCTATCGTATCATCCTGGGCTACAAGCCAAAGGCGTCTTTTACCGCTGCCGGCGGCAGCGAACGCCACGGCTTGCAAGGCCGCTACAGCGGGAAAAGCGAGCGCGCGTCCACTTCGGCAGTGTGGACAAGCGGCATTTCTCCAGCGGCCGCGCGGATTTGCCAAACCGAGCATGGGTGCCGCAAGTACAGGGATGGGCAGCCCTGAAGCGGCAAGGATTTCGACCCCCGGCCCCTTCGATCCCGTCCAAACCTGCTGCCCCGAAACGCCAACGCCCAATCGGTGATGGCAACGTCCCGCCGGCCCGGCGCCGTGTCGTGTGTTGGACTTCCACCGTGTCTGGCTAGCTGTCCGCCTGCAACCGGGCAACCGGCCCGGGGGCGTGCCCTGTGTGTGCCCAGTGCCCAGTCGGCCGAGAGGGAAATCGAACCCTCCTCGTCGTTGTCTCGTTGCAGTGTTTCACCTGGGTCGTACGTTGTGTTGTACATACATGCCATTGCTCTGTTGCTTGGAGCAGCCGGTTTGCATTGGCTGCCGCTGTCGAAAGACGTCCTATTCGTATGGCTTATAAACCGTATTTTTGTAGTCAACAAACAATATTTTTCTTTCATAATAAATTAGCCAACAATACTTTCAACAATAGCTTATTAACCAAACGAATAGAGCAAGAAATGGTGGACTGCAGTGTCCACTGCTCATGGGTAAATGCGCATGTCGATACGGCGCGTGCTCATACGCTGTATGTACCTACCTACTATTCGTCATTGCCCTGCTC